TCTTGGGCTCGTCAGTTAGGGAAACTCCTATATTTTGAAGAGAATTCTCTACTTGAGAGCTGATTTGGATAGAAGTTTCAGTTTCTTCAGCTTCCTCATCTGTTCTTTGCTTCAACCTTTGATTTTCTTTCTTGGCTTCTTCAGCTTCCACAGCTAGTTGCTGAACAGCAAGATATAATCCTGATTTGGCACTTTCTGCTCTTGCTTCAGCTGCCTCTGCAGCTGCAATTTTAGATCTTCCTTTGTGAACCTCAGATTTCAGAAGTGCTATTTCCTCTTGTGCTTCGATCTCTCTTTCCTTAACTGCATCCATCTCTACTGCAGTCTTCTCTAATTCACTTGTGAGCTTGCCAACATTAGTTTTCACCTGATCTATCTCTTCATTAGCATTTATCAGTTTTACTTTTAGCTGGTCCATGTCTGTTTCCAATGTCTCTATGTAGAGTGCTTGATCTGAGTTTCTTCCTTCCTTGATCTCCAACTCTGCTTTTAGGTTCTCCAAACCACTCATAGCATCAGAAGCAGCTTCCTTATATGACCTAAGTTGCTCGTCTGCTTGCTTAAGCTCCAAAATAAGCATATCAACCAAAGTAGATTTCTCCAGGACCTGAATCTCAAGTTCTTGCATACTTTCTAATTCTCTTCTCATATCTTCCAACTGCTCTTGTGCTTGAGCTGCTGATGCCATTGCTAACTCTATCTCATCATCTTTTTCTGATAAAATAGTAAACTTCTCTTTGTCTGCCTCGATAGCAGCCAACTTTAACCGAAGAATAGCTTCATTGAGCTCTGACACATGCTTCAGAAGCTCTTGTAACTTTTCTCTATCCATGTTTGCAGCAACTTCCATCATTTCAGCTTGCATCATTGCTTTGAGCTGTAAATCCCTAGCAGCTGCCAGTTCTGTTTCCATGTTAAGCAGATCTTCTTGGGCAACCTTAAGCTCATTTAGGACATTCAAAAGTTGCTCCCGGACCTTCGCATTCTCTGCAAGCTGATTCAGCATCTCCTTCATCTTGGATTCAAGAGCATGTATATAGCTCCTGGATTCTGTATGCTCTTCAATGCATTTCTCTCTCTCAACCTCTGAGTTCTTCAGCAGGGTGGAAAGTTCATCAGCCGCTTTCTGGTAGTGTTCTACTTCAAGAAGGACTTGCATGTAGGCAGATTCCTTTGCTTCAAGTTGCAGCTTGTAGTTGGCCAGATCCTTCTGTAAGGTTTCAGCATCTTTATCTTTCCCATTATCTAGCTGATATAATAAGACAACAAAAGATTATCAGATCGTTCTGAAGCAACCACCTATACATGGAAAAATATTTTATGTACTGCCTATGCATGGATACATTTTCTGATCAATGTCCAGTTGAATAACAAAGCCAGGACTTCATAGATTATTTGCTATAGCAATGTCAGTTATGTTACTCCAAATGGATCAATATGTCTACATATATCCAGTAAGTATTCACTATTTATGTTATTACAAAACATCTTGGTTCAATTTAAAGCACAAATAAGAGGTGGCATATATAAGCTACACACAAACAATATATTAAAGAAGGGGGAAAAAACTTTAACGTTTGAATTTGAGTGACTAGATTACAATCACTACAAAACCCAATCAGTAAAGAAAACGAAATCTGGAAAGATTTCTAAAGAACTTTGCATAAAGATCAACTCTAGCATCACTACAGGAAAAGTAAAAAGAAAAAGATAAATGAACCCTCTTACACTGCCGCCAGACTGCTGCTTCTCTGGTCACATTTTTCACCAAAATGAGACAATGCTACTTGCACTGGCTCAATGGGTTTGGTATCAATCTCACCCATCATCTTGAATCAAGAAAAATCCAAAAGCACCCGAATGAACTGACACCAATAAATAATCTCGAAGACAATCAAAGCTAACATATGTTTAGGCTCATGCATTATACAGTTTAATCTCAATATTAGATGGTAGAAAATCCTGGGGAAAATTGCGTGAAATTATATCAGACTTAAACAAACCATGTAATTCAGTAACATGTCTTTCGTACAAGCAGCGAATCTAGTCCAACGGCAGCTTCTATTCAACTAGGAGCTTACAGCAATAATTTTAACCAAAAGGATCCATGGAAAATTCTACTCGATTAAAGGAGCTTCCAGCTAACTTATGGGAGAACATTGAAAGTAACAACTCTGTTTCTCTTAATCTCAAATCAGCAGAACAGTCTTTACACAAAAGGTCATGCCATCCAACACAATCCACAATTTGTTGCTATACAAATGACATTAACACATATACGAAGCAAAAAAAAAAAAAACCCAACTCAAACAGTTTTCACAAACGAAGAAAAAGATTATGCATTTTGAATTGCTGAATACAGAAAGAGACGAATTTGAAACTAAACCATATGCCAGTATATCAACTAAAGCTTCGCTTCAGCCATAACGATACAAACTTCAATCTGGGGAATTAGACAAAAAAGCTTGCTTTTAGTTGCAAGAACAATCCTTTTATGTTCAGTTTCAAAAACCCGTCAATTTACAGTGCTCACAAACTGTTTTAGAAAATGACCCAATAACCAAGCAGATCAGAAAGGGAGGTGGGAGTACCTGAAACTGCGAGAAGACGAGAACAAGCCCAGGGAAATTGTAGTTGAGGAGGACGAGAATGAAACTCCATGGAAATGAACATTGTTTTGCAGAACTGGAATGTTCGAATCTTTTCCATTTTGCTGGAGAAACCGAAGCTCTGAGTTCTTGTCAGAATTGAAGAGTCCGCAAAGTTGCCGAACGCCAAAAATTCAGCTATTAACAAGCTGTCTACTTTTCGAAGCAAATTTTGTACTCCAAAGAGGAGTTAAAATTAGATACAAAGAAAACAATGGAAATTTTTAATTTTAAAAAATAAATTATGGTGATTTTTTAATATAATAAATAAAGAATATCAATTTACCTCGAAATAAAAATAAAACAATCAAAATACTACAAATTAGAAATTCACTGTGAAAATGAATTGAATTCTATTAAGTATCTTAAAATTTTCATTGTTCATCCTAAAACAAAATTTATATGAAATTAATTTGAAAATAACATATTTCTATTAATGATATATTCCAAACACATCATAAATCCTAAATTTTTTTTCCTATTGGGTTAAGATTATAAATATTTTCATAAAATTTTTTGAAGATAAATACCTAAGATAATTGAAATTGATGTTTTTTTTTTCTAACCTTTATCTCCCATAACATTTTATATCCATTGTAATTAAAAAACACAAAATTTGTTTTGGAAACACAAAAATTACTAAAATTAACATATTCGCACAATAAAAAATACTAATATTTAGTGTCACCTAATTATCATCGTATTTTTTTAGAAATATACGCATAATACCTAATAAGATATCTTCACATATCAAGAATTACAAGATCACCCTTTTTATTATGGGGTGATGAGCGAACCGTAACATTCAAATTTTTTTAAAAAGTCTGGAAAAAACTGTAATTAATATGATTTTTTTAATATTTTTTTTCTAAAAAAACATAAATTTTTTTTGTTTTCCTTTTCACAAGAACTAGGAGATTGGATTTAATCATAAAAAAAAATATTGATTGATAAATAATTCACTTCTTGATCTTCGACCGATAATTAATTTTAAATAAGAAAAAATCACATAATAAATTTATGTAAAAAATTCTTTAATACGGAGAGAAAAATTACATAATCAAAACTCAAAAGCTGTTTTTCAAGAAGCTCTCTCTTCCTCTTTTTTTTATAAATCACCCTTATTTTTTTCAATAAATTAGTTGTTGTAGAATGATCCTCTAAAATCACTTGTTCATTATAATTACCAAAATGGCATTAGATGTAATAACTAGGCCCAAGGGAGAGAAAGGACTCCAAGCCCAGGCCAGAAAAGAAAAAAAAAATTAAAAAAAAGAGAAAAAAAAACCTAGTATAAGAAGGAAGAAGAGGAGAAGGAGAAAGAAGAAAGCATGGTGCGCGGCGCATGCGACCGGAAGAGAGGATGTCGTGTGTGCAGTGTTAAGTGCACGACGTGCGCTGCCGAAGAAGAAAGAGGAGGAAGGAAGCAGGGCGAGGTGCGCGCGATTGGAAAGGAAGGCTTGTGCGTGGTGCTGAGCACGCAGCACACGGTGAATGGTGTTGAGCATGCGACGCGCAACTCGTGACGGGCGGTGCTAGGCGCGCGGTGCAAGGCACGCTATGCCAGCGTGTGGTGTGCGGTGATGGGCACGCGGCACACGGCGCGTATTGCTGAAGAAGAAGAAGCAAAGTGCGTGCTGGGTGGATTTGATCTGTGTGAGGCAGAGCACGACGCGGTGTTCCAGATCTGTTCAATGATCCATGCGAGGCCAAAAATCAAGGAACCAGAAGAGAGACCGAAACCGCACTCTTTCGGGTAGAAAGCCCGAATTTGACACTGAATTCGGTAAATTTTCTTCCACCTTACATTTGTTTATTACTTTAAATTAAATCTTTAATCATATGTATAAAAATTTTCAGAAAATTGGGAATATAAAACTGGAAAGATAGCCGATTGTATGGAACTAAAGTTATGAGAATATGTTTTCTCACAAAGTATCATCCGTATGTGGAAGTGTGTGAATAACTTCCTACGATTGTGTTTGTGTAATTAAATGAAACTGTATGAATATGTAACCGAGTGTGTTTGAATGTATGAGCGTGTGCCAAATAATACACATATAAGAGATAATTTGTGCGTGCATATGTTAAAAAACTAAATGTCTTGATGTACATATACATATGAGTACGTGGTTAATTATTTTGAATGTGCAGTATATGATATATATTGTTGTGCGTGTATGTATATATAATATGAAGTGTGCTACATACATGTAAATTATATGTACAATGGATACATGACCAAGTCAGTGTGGAAAAATAAGAATATGTATGTTTGTAATTGGTATTTAATTTTATGAAGTTGAGATAATTTTTGAAGAGGAAAAAGCTTACCGTGTATCACGAGAGAGAGTGCACGGGGTTGTATATAATTTGATTCCCACCATAGATGTGTTCTCAGTCGTATGAGGCTAAGAAGTTCCATATCGAACGGGGTTGAGAATTAATTTAATTACGCTTATATCAGACAGGATATTGAAACGGTTTATAATTATAACACTCATTATTAGATGGGGTATTGAGGCAGTTTATAATTGTGGCGTCCATTACCGGACGGGGTATGGGGATGACCGGTGAATTGTAAAAGAAATATTTTGTACATCTACGTGTAGCAGAGATCCTTATGGACCTCTACTGATACCGGTGATGGAAATAAAAATATGTAATAGAAATGGAAGTGATCTAGATATATATCTGGGGTAGTTGATGATATTTGTGAACGAAATGGAATTATCTAAATATGAATCCAATACGATATGATTATATTTATGAATGAGAATGATATGTACGGTACCTAGATATATGTTGGAATGAATAATGAAAATGGATGTGGTTCTTGATTAATTCTTTTATTATACTTTGCGATAATTTGTAAAATGAATTTTTATGAATATAAAATTTGCATTTGTTTTATTAAACCTGTATGAATGTGCATTTATGTATAACTATTCTGAACATTATTTTATTTTTACTGAGTTTGTGAAACTCACCCCAATTCACATCTCCCCCAGTGTAGATTAGTTCAAGTTAGGAGTGAGTTCAAAATCAAAAGAAGATTTCGAAGAATCTTTTAACTACCTTAAGACGTTATTGTAAAGTAGTATTTAAAATAGAGATATATAAATGTACATTCATACAAATTTACTAAGTCTGTGAAGCTCATCCTAATTCACATCCCCCTAGTGCAGATTAATTCAAGTCAGGAGTGAGTTCAAGATCAAAGGAAGACTTTGAAAGTTTTTTTAGCTATCTTAAAACGTTATTATAAAGTATATCAGAAAATATTATTGTGATGTAATTTCAAAAAATTATTGTAAGTCTCACAAATTTACAAGGGATGTTGTAACACCCACTAAAACCTATGAAACAAACGAATGCGATGCACCAGTATCAATCAAAACATGAGTAAGATAGTTACAGATAGTGTACATACCATGTACCACGTTCGGGTTGGCTTCAGCATCTTGCTGGATGAGATTATAAGCTCTGTCCTGATAGGAGGTCTGTTCTGTAATTGAGATTATTAAGAGAAATGGTTCACGTGTAGAGGGGACATCACTATGAACCTCCATGAATATTAGTAGGCTTGTGAAATGAGAAACGATTATGATTTATTTTATTGTTAATGGATATGAATTCATGATATGTTTTATGTTACTGGGTGTTCATGAAGTTATGATCTGTATTGTATTATTGTCTTTATAGGTTGTTTTCATAAATTTTATTATGGTAAGTGAATGGCAAATGGTTTTATGATTGATAAACGAATGCGCTAAATTTAGTACTCCATTAGTTGTTTTGATTTTATACCAACTTTTACTTCTGTATCAGTGATATAATGTGATATCCTTACTGGGTTAGTGTAGTTCATCCTTTATTTAACTATTTAAGATCAAGAGGAACTGGTTCCAGAGCCCGATCCGCAAGAAAATTGCGAGTAGATGCTAGATACTTTTTATTTTTCTTATTTCAGTTATGATTTAGTTTATTGTTAATGGATATGAATTCATGATATGTTCTATGTTGCTTGGTGTTCATGAAGTTATGATCTGTATTATATTATTGTCTCTATAGGTTGTTTTCATAAATTCTACTACGGTAAGTGAACGGTAAATGATTCTATGATTGATAAACGAATGCGCTAAATTTAGTGCTCCATTAGTTGTTTTGATTTTATACCAACTTTTACTTCTGTGTCAGTGATATAATGTGATATCCTTACTGGGTTAGTGTAGTTCATCCTTTATTTAACTATTTAAGATCAAGAGGAACTGGTTCTAGAGTCCGATCCGCAAGAAAATTGCGAGTAGATACTAGATACTTTCTATTTTTCATTATTTTTCTTATTTCGGTTATGATTTAGTTTATTGTTAATGAATATGAATTCATGATATGTTCTATGTTGCTGGGTGTTCATTAAGTTATGATCTGTATTGTATTATTTTCTCTATAGGTTGTTTTCATAAATTCCACTACGGTAAGTGAACGACAAATGGTTTTATGATTGATAAACGAATTTGCTAAATTTAGTGCTCCATTAGTTGTTTTGATTTTATACTAATTTTTACTTCTGTGTCGGTGATATAATGTGATATCCTTACTGGGTTAGTGTAGTTCATCCTTTATTTAACTATTTAAGATCAAGAGGACCTGATTCCAGAGCCCGATCCGCAAGAAAATTGCAAGTAGATGCTAGATACTTTCTATTTTTCATTATTTTTCTTATTTCTCGTATTTTTTTCAGAGAATTCATTCTGTAATGTTGTTCAGTACTTTTAAATCATTGTACAAGAGATGTAAACTTAAACATTTTATTTCGCTTCCGCACTTAAATTATTATATATTTTTTTGGAATTTCTGAAGTTATTACTGATGTATTATTCATTCATAGATATTAGCATAATGATATACAAAATTTATTAAGTTTATATATTAGACAATGCGCCTTTCTCTCTAGAAAAAGCAGTACGTTACATTAAGTTTCACATTCTATATGGGCCACTATCCACATAGTTGTGGTGCCCCCGATAAGTTACCAAATATTAAAAATCCAGTACTAAATGACATTGTAATTATATCCATATGAGTGTGATAGATATAGATCAAATTTATATGAACCTAAAAAAAATTGGATAACATTGGTGATTTTTTTTTTTTTTTTTTTTTGAGGCTGCAAAGCAAATGTGTCATTCATATATTATCATGTGAATTTTTAATTGATTAAGAAGGAAGAAAGATGGGGGGGTTGTCATTTTAATCCAAAGAGCTGTTTTTGTCTAGAGAAAATGACATTGCAACTTAATCTGTCATTATTATTATTAATTCAATTTTTACGTACATGATTTCAAGTTAAACTTATCTCTTAATCATGATTATTAATGTCTTAATTGCTAACCACTAGTACTCCATTATGTATTAATTCATTTTTGAAAAAAAAAATTATGTTAATTTTAACATTTTATAGTGAAACTATTTATTATATATAATTCATGCTTTCACTTTTTTTTTTTTTCATGAAGTCATATAATTATTAAAATATATAAATTTGGATTGAATTTTAAAAAAATTTCATTACACATTATTAACGCGGTTATTTATTGCAATCATTCTCATTCAATTCAATCATTGAATTTCTGCATTCTAATGTTGAGCTGTACTCTTCTATACATATATATATATATATATATATTTATTTAAAATCCCCTCAATCATTATTGAAAATGGAAAATACAAAACATGTAAATAATGTTGCCTCACTTTGGTACAGTAGTTTTGCGAGTGATTATTATTCATAAACAAATTAATTAAGATGTTAAATTAAGAAAATTATATTATATAAAAATATTAAATTAATATAACAAAAATAAATATTAGCATAACAAGACTATCGGTTTGCAGAGATTCTCTCCTCCCCCTTCCCTCTCTGTTTTCTCTCTCTTTGTTACCGCGACAGAGAGTGGGATAGAGCCAGAGACAATGGAGAAAGCCCTAACTACAGTTGGTAGCTTCTGGATATCCAAGAAAGCCAAGGAGGAACTCCACAACATCACTGAAGACCTCTCTGTATGCCCCCAATTTCTTCATCTCCTTCTCTTTTTTTCCCGCTCAAATCTTCTGCTTATATGCTCCCATTCTGTTTGAACATAAATCTCAACTTCTTTAATGTTTCCTACTGTTGCTGTAATCAAGTCGTTTGAATGTGATTGCTCGTGTTGGTTGTATTCTCTTGTAGTTCTTAGCTTGAAAAGTGAAAAACCCGTAATGCAGAATTTCAAGTGTCTTGATTAAGATCTGCTAAGTTTAATGTCTTCTTTTATGGATTCTCTTTCTATTTTAGGACTGTCAGTTTCGTGAATCTTGATCTTATAATGATTTGCTTTCTTTTCAGGTTATGCATTTGTTTAAATTGTTGAATCGGTTGACAAATTCTTTATTTTAGTCTTTAGATTCGTGTGATATTCTTACCGGTGAGATTTTACCCTAAGTGAAATTTGGGTTAAATAGAGTAATGCATTGATGATGTAAAGGACAAAGCCGCAATGATTTTAGCAGTAAAAAATAGACTGACTGCTAAAAAATGGAGGATGATTTTGAATTTGTGTCCATACAAACAAAAGAGAGTGCGTTATCCTTTCTACCGAACTTCATGCCTATATTATTTGTGATGATATGTTTATGCCAAATGTGGCATGTAACAGAATGTTGAATGTTTGCTCTTGATCTCAGTCTTTTTCAAGCAGCGTTGAGGACAAGGCAAAATGGTTATTCAACAAGCTCAAAGGTAAAGAATCTGACACACGGTTTTAATTTGTCTTTCTTTAAATGACTAAATCAGGAATTCGGGTTAAACAATCTTGGATCCAATCTAGCAATTTGGATAACACCAGTTACCAAAATTCATATGTTGTTTACCTTAAATTACGATTTGTCACATTGTATCTTATTTGTTTAATATTTTTTAGTCATAATTTATGTACTTTAATACATAATTTGAACAGAATCCACCCATATTGTCCATCAATTTAAATTCCCACTAAGAGTTTCATCAAGTTGAATTAACATGATTGTGGGATGTATAGATTAAGGGATACATGGATGCACTATTTTGGAACCATTTTGTTAGGTTATAATATTATTAGAGATGAGTATTTTAGAAATGTCATTGATACACTAACTCTTTTGTAAATCATTTATATATGGGCAGGTACCTGTTAATATGTATACATCACACTTTTTATTTCGAAAAAAAAAAAAAAACTTATTAATTTTGTATTAAAGTATTATGTTGATTCAAATTAGAATATTCTACTCTGATTCTTATTAAGAGAATTGAAATTTAAATTAAGCTATTCCTAAAGGTATTAAAAACAGAATTAATGATAAAATAGTTCGAAGTTAGTATACAGATTTCTATTGCTTTTGGACCCATTTTTTGTGTTTTTGCGTAACAGCGTTCTGCATCTGTGAATCTAACAGCCTTTGAACTCTTCTAATCAAAGACCATTTTATTTTGGGTGTCAATCAAATTACTTGGTGAATTCACTTGTGTACACAAGCACGCCTTAGCTCTTAAAGAAACTCATCTTGTACCTGTGTTTATAGGTAATGATAAGCCACTGAAATCCCTACCAGATCTCCTTAGACAGCACAACCTTCTTCCGGGCCTCTTTCCCAGTAACATAATTTCTTACGAATTCGATCACTCAACATGCAAGTTGATCGTTTATTTCGCTAAGCCATGCGAGGTGACTTTCAAGGACTCATCTGTTGTAAGATATGCCACTCGGGTGAAGGCAACACTGTCAAAAGGAAAGCTGAGTGGCATTGAAGGAATGAAAACAAAGGTGCTGGTGTGGGTCAAAGTTACCAGCATATCAGTGGAGAGCTACAAGTCTGACAAAGTTTGGTTCATGGCAGGAGTGAAGAAGTCAAGACCAAAAGATGCCTATGAAATGCCCCGTGAAGCCGTTAAAGTGGAAGCATTTTAAACTTCCCAAATTCCACTTCTATGATATACATACATATATATACATTTAATTGGTTGTATTTCTGTAACTGATAATATTCATTGCTGTCTATAATTTTGCATTTCCAGAAGGAGATGGGTGGTTTTTGTATTGGCTTTTGCAAGATCATCAGCTATGTCATTTGCTGCAAATTTTGTTCGATGAATATTTCATTTTGAAATCCCAATTTCAGATCTTGTTCGTTCTTTGAATGAGATTATTTTACTTTATTAATTTTAGAAAATTGCATATAATGGTGATAATGTAATAATTAAAAGATTCAGGGTCAAATTAGGAAAAGAAAAACCTGTTGTTATATGTTGCGTACCCTTTAAAATAACAAACAACTGGAAAGTAAATTAAAAAAATTGACCACCGATCTTCTTTCCCACTCTACCCGTTAACTATTTGCTCGAGACAAAGCCGATTCTCAGACAACGGAGATCATCATCGCCGGCCGGCCGTACGTGCAGCCCGTTTACGTCATCGAGAGCATCAATTTCGGTGACCACTCCCAGGTTTGCTTCTGCTTCACCTTCTACCTCCCTGTCATGCAATCTCTACTTATATCGATTGCGATTCCCTCCATCTCTCCCTGCTTGAATGTGGTTAATTTCCTCGATCACTTTGGATTCTCTACACTCTTTTAGATTTATCTTAGGTGTTTAGGTTATCTGGTTCTTTGCGCTTCAAAATTGTTCTAGTTCTTTATGAAATTGGGGTTTTTTCTGGGGCTTCTGTTTGAGGGATCGATCAGGTTCTCAAGTCCGTCCAAACACTTTTTTCTGGTTTATTTTTCGAGAGTTAAATTCTGATGCAATAAGATTTGCATGCTGTGCAGCGATTCGAACAACAAGAGGAGAAATTCTCAGAGGAAAGGGAAGAGGGAAGGCAGAAGAAAATTCGAGAGGTAAAGAGTTTCATTCATTCAAGCATGAAAGTACATCGTGTATTATCTATTTATTATTTGCTGGAAGTGACAACTGATGTAACAATTTTGCTGATGGCCTCAAGTAAAGTGACATTTTTGAGTGGTGGAAAAGAAATTTGTTGATGGTTGATTTTTTTTTTTTTTTGGCTAGACATTGATAGTTAAAGTTGAGTATATGATCTTTTCTCATGTAAACATTATTCATAGTTTCTGTGAATCTTGTTTTGTACTCGTTTAGTGATGGCGTCCTCTTTTAGGACATTGTCTCGTCCTCTTTTAGGACATTGTCTCGTAGGAGGGAAAATTGATTATTCAATAGCTCCATTCTTTTTCCTTTTCTTTTTCACATTTACTATATTTAATGGCCAAACAAAATATCTATAGGGTTTGTATGGTGATTGATGAATGCTGATATAGAGATCAGAGGAGAGTAGAAAACAAAATGATCTTTTCGTAAGCTAATCTCTTCCCTCCTCACAAAATCCAGTTTCAAAAAATTCAACATCTTTAGGTACACTATGTATACACACATGTGATTCATCTTCCTTCTTGTCTCCTGATTTTGCAAATATATTGCGGAAAACGTAAAAGATTGGATCCCTTTCTAAGGTGTTGTCTTGGGGAAAAAAAGGAAATAACCAATTTTATTTTATATTAATTGAAATTGCTTTACTTGGTTATCTATAACAAATACTTGATCTCCTTGCATTTTTTGTTTGTTCTTCTATTTTTCAACAATTTATGTGGTACCTTTCAACTTAAGGTTGAACATTTTCAGTAGCCACGGTATTTCTAATTCCTTGTAGCTTGAATTATCCTTGGAAATGCAGACACCCACTAATGCTTTATGGATAATATTTATCATTCCAAAATTTGAAGTTGCATGAGTTTAGAGAATACTAGTTGCAGATTTAGATTGGACTTTAAAAATAATGCATGGCGCTCATTGCATCTATAGGAGCGATATTTTCCCTGTGCAGTATATGGCTATGTAAACTGGCTAAACAAGGGTGACATATGGCCAACCATTTTGAGCTTGTTTTTATTGGGTGAGTTATCTGTTTATTAGGAGATTGACTTGTGCAACTGCTACAAATTGAAGATTCGTGTTGATTGTTAGAATTGTGTTGAAATGGAAAATAGAGTTGAAATGAGCTCAAGAATATGTGATAAGAGGAGATGAAGCCATACTTTTTTACTATGGAAGTGTGCGTCAACAGTACTTCCACGGTAGGAATAAATATGATGAAGGATAAGATATATTCATAAATGGATAGAAGTTCAAGGAGAGGAGCCTCTGGGCCTGGGTGATTTGATCTTGCAGATGCTTTTTGGGTGGGAGGCGGAGCACTTAGGGCTAATGTTGTAATTGCTGCATTAAAATCCTTTAAATTAAAGACAAACTTTTGTTTCTGTGCTTTCATTTGAAAAAAGTTTGTGGCACTGTCTTCCCTTTTGTGATCAATCTTATACCCTGGCACTTCTATTTTTCTATGGTAAGTGTACTAAATGCCTTTTCATTTCATAGATACTTGGTTTTGTATGCATACATTTCTTTCTTTGTTATAATACCTATGATGCACCATTTGAGTGTTCTCGATCTGCGTACTTATGGTTGACAGGCAGTCAAAACATTGGATATTGGAATGGAATTGGCAGATCGAGCAGTTGGATTCCTACTATGTCTTATCAGCTTATCCGTATTTACTTATTATACTTTTTGGGTCATCATTTTGGTTAGTAGCTTTTCACCCAAAAAAACAAAACATGCAACCACTTGCATATAATTGTTGTTAATTTGGGATGCTGTGTTTTTTCAGCCATTTGTAGACACTGATCACTTCATCCACAACTATTTTCTACCTCAAGAATATGCCATACTCATCCCGGTATTTGCTGGTGTTGTGCTCCTCTCGTTCTTATCCGTATTTATCGGGCTGGTGATGCTTCAATCCAAAAAGAAGAAGGCTTGATCTTCTACACTATTCTTCTTTTTTTCTCTCTCCATCATTTCATTCTGTGTTATCAGGCCTCGGTTTTGACAAGAACACAGGTTTGCAGGGTAAGATTTTAGATGAATGAAAACCTCCTCTCTTTAATCTCCTTTGTCAATTTATATTTCTTAATTTGCAAAGTTACATTATTAATACAGAACAATGAATTCTCAAGCCGAAATCCTTGTTTGTGAATGTGTGTGTGTATATAGCTATACATATGTATGCGTGGGTGTAAGAGTAGGTTTTAGATAGTAGGCAATCTTACTCGGTATATTTTCAATTTAACTTTTGTTACTTTAATAGCTGTGTGTTAATTTATTGTAACTTGCTTTATGTTAAAAAAAAGGTCAGTCCCAATTACAGTCTTTCTTTTTAACTATATAACAAGTATATCTTCAAAAAAAATAAAAATAAAAACTATACAGTATGTATTGCAAATAACTGGATATACTTATGAACTAGAAGTTGAAATTTAGAACGATTTTGTTTAAAGTATTAAAAAAAATTCAGAATTATTTATTTATTTAATACCTAATAATTTCTTAGTTAATTCTAAACTGATAAAAATAAACAACATAATCAGTAAAAAAAAAAAAATTAATAACTGATGCTGTTTAAACAATAAAAAGCAAAATTTTAACTAAAAAATATGATGATTGAAATTTTGAAGAACAAATTTGAATGATATCAATAAAAATTAAATATGACAATGGAGAACTCTACAATTTTTAGTTTTTTTTTTTAAATATAAAAAAAAAAATTAAGGGAGGTTCTTTTTCTTGTTGCTTCTTTTCGCTTTGGCAAATAATATCTTAAATAAAAAATGAAATTAATAAAAAATAATAAAAATTATTTTATTAATTCGGTCCGAGTTTCCCTTCCGACACGCTCCTCCCCATTGCTTCTTTGGTCCGTAGCTCATTACATTCAAAGCACATAGCCGTACGGACAGAGGAAGAGGGAGGAGGGAACATGAGTTCTCCTTCTTCTTCTTCTCCTCATCGAGTTCGCACTGGCAACAGTCCAAACGGGGAGGAGAGACCCAGATTCTTCGATTCCAAAGCCAAGACCCTGTGCTGGGAAAAGGCCGAAACGGTCCCGGGTCGACACCCGGAGAGGTGGCGTAAGGACGCCGCTGGCAACATCGTCTGCAAGCGCTTCTGCAACTGCAAAGGTTGCCTCTGCTTCGAATACGACCACATTCTTCCATTCTCCAAAGGTTCTTCTCTCTCTCTCTCTTCCCGTTTTACTTTCACGCTTTCAGCCTTTCTGCTTTCTCAGCTTTTTGTTTCCTGTTGCTAGAAATTGTTTTGACAGCTGAAAAATTTAGTCTTCAAATGGATTTCGTACAAGTAGATCATATCCAGAGCTCATTGACTGGTTTCGAGAGTTTGTTTGAGATTCTGTTCAGTCGTTAAAACGCGGATTTTGTTGTCGTTTTGGTGCTCTGGTAGTAAAATAGAAGTTGTCTTCCAATTTAGAATTAATTCTATTGGGCATACTGGGACTGGTTTTTCCTGTTCATGTATAAAACTTGAAAGAAAAACGGCACGAGAGATTGTTTTTAGCTTGTTTGTGCTTTGGTATTGTGTTGCAGGTGGTGAATCCACGGTGGAGAATTGTCAGATTCTTCAAACTAGGGTAAACAGGCTTAAATCAGCCAAGGAACAAGTGGATGCAACTCAGTTGAAAGGTTACTCTTGTGATATTCAGTTTACTGGTATGGTTCGCTCTATTCTCCTTTTCCAGTCTTCACTATGAATCTTAAACTTGTTGGTTTTGTGTCCTTTCAATCTTTCTGTGCTTGCTTGTGGCTTTGCCTTGATGTTATAACCCAATTTTGTTATATTGGGGGGTGCAACCTTGTCGAGTTAGAATGTTGTACTCGTGGCAGGATTAGGATTTCGACGCACCTAAACAAGGATTAAGATTCTTAGTTGAATTGGAATTTCTTGATTTTCTGTGCAAAATGGCCTGATATTGCTCTAAAGTTTTGGGAACGTGCATAATGAACGTTCTTGAGTGTTCAACTTGGAATATTGTGTTTATTTCGAGAAAGTTTTGGATACCATGTCTAAGCATTGCAATGAATAATTTTTTATCCCCTTCTTCTCAGTCCAGTTGGACAGGGATGAACTAATATGCCTGAATTGTTAGTATGATAATTTAGCAATATAAGGTTGCTCGGCATTTTAATGCATAACTGAAATCCAAAACAGAAAAGTAATCCTGGAGCTTTTTTAGGTCTGCAGAATAAAAAATCTGTAATCTCACATCATAGGAGACTATGAGCATTTGTTGGAAAGTACCTGTGTTACCTCCATACCTCATGATAAATTCTCTCTTTGGGACTTGACTGAAAAAAGGAGATCCAGGATTTGACGCGTGAGATGAGAAGGATTCCATGGTAATGGTATAACTGTGGAATTCAATGACACTGGAAATTACTGACACTAGCATGTTTCTACCTACTGCCAAGGACATTTCGGAAACCATGAGGGAATGTATTCCAAAGCAAAATCCGCCTAGATATATGAGACTAAGGTAAGAATTGCCACTATGAAGTAAGGCAGTAAATCTGTCACTGAGTATGCCAATCTCTTAAAAAGTATGTGGCAAGAAGTGGATCATTATCAAGCTATCAAATTGAAGTGCACCAAGGATTTAGCAATTGTGAAAGCCTTCATTGAGAGTGACAGAGTTTATGATTCTTGCAGGCCTTAATGTGGAATTTGATCATATAAGGATTCAAATATTAGGAGAAGATGAGGTACCATCTCCATCATCAGAGTACAGTAGAGCAGGAGAGAAGTTATGCTTGAGGCTCAGAACCTGAAAGCATTTGCCTTTGTGATAGATACTAGAAAAACAGAGAAAGGGAGCATAGAACTATCCGAGGCCCCAAATTGGAAAACGAAAGATAGTATTTGGTGTACCCATTGCAAGAAGCTGAGGTACACCAAGGAGAGATGCTAGAATTAAATAATAGACCCATTATCAAGCAAGGAATAGGGAAACCAATGGGCTAGCAGAAAAATCAAGGTCAAGCTCACATGAATATGACCCAAACAAATTCAGAAACAACTTCATACCGAGGAGAGCTCAATAAGGAGAAGATTGAGGGATTTAGAGGTCTGTTGAGGATGTTGGAAAAGCCTTAAGTCTAGTGGTACTTGTTCCTTGACACTATCAAGTATGTTTGTCCTTTCTTATGTGGTAAAGACCTAAGATAGTTCCATCACAGTTTCCTGGATCATTAATTCAATGGAAAGGGGACCCCCTGTCACCGTTTTTGTTCATCATTGTAATGGAATATTTCAACAGAATTATTTTGAGGGCCTGTGAACTTGAAATATTTTTAGGATTAAAGGTCAGCGATAGGGAGTGTGTGGAAGAGATTACTCATTTATTTTTTGCATATGACACACTGCTACTCCATGATCCGAGTGAGAGAATCTTGCTACATCCTATATGCATTCTATTAAGCTTCGAAGTAACATCGGGGCTCAATATGAGTTGGTGAGACTCGGGGATGGGCAGGATGTTAACAGATTAGCTAGTATCCTTGCATGTAAGAGTGTTAATTTGCCCATAAAGTATTTGGGACTATTGCTAGGGGCTAAATATAAGGATGTTTCGACTTGGGATCCGGTTGTGGCTCGATTCGAACAGTGTTTAGTCGGTTGGAAAAGAAACGTTCTATCTAGTAAGGGAGACTCACTCTCATTAGAAACAAATTGGTCAATATCTTAATTTATCACATGTGTGTCTTATGACGATCCCCATGAATATGGCTAAGAGACTAGAGTCCATATAGTGTAGATTTTTATAGAGTGATTCCAATGAGAAGAGGAAATATCACCTTGTGGCTTGGGACAATGTTAAAAAGTCTTTTCACTTTGGTGGGCTGGGTTTGAGATCTATGGTGGAGATTCAATAGGGCACTTTAGGAGAAATGACTATGGAGATTTAAGAATGAAGGTGGGCAGTCTTTGGCGAGGGTAATTGAAGTAAAATTCGGTATTTAGGAAAGAAGTTGGTTCACTAGGCTAACGCCTAGACCTCATGGGCAACCGATTATGGAAAAAAATATGCATGGGAAAAAAATAGTTTCACTGTTGCATTAGATGGAGGATTGGTATGGGGGATGGGATTAGGCTTTGGCATGACAATTAAATGGAGGGTCTTCTCAAAGCTTAGTTTCCTTAAATATGTACTCTTGCCCACAACAGAGATGCCTTGATACAAGATGCCTACATTGCATTACAAGGCTTGGGGAGTGGTCCATGGAGATCATGAGGAATCTTAATAACTAGGAAGTTAGAGAGTATGAGACATTTATCCCCGCCCTTATGAGAGTAAGGATTGATGGGAGTAGAGCCCATCCACTCTGGAGTCTTAATGATAAAGGGTCTTTCTCTATAAATTCTTTCTACAACCATTTGACAAGAAGAGAGACTAGTGGAAGAGGCTTCCCTTACAGGCAAATTTGGAAGGTTAATGCATCGCCTAAAGTTGCTTTTTTTCCTTGGGAGGCTGCTAGAGGTTGCATTTCAACCCTAGACAAGTTGATCATAAGGGACAAGGTTTTGGTGAATGGTTCTTATATGTGCAGAAGGGCTGTGGATCATGTAACAATCTACTTTTGTGGTGCCCCTTTGCATATAGATTACGGACCCTCGATTACAACCTGTTGGATATTAATTGAGTGATGGTTGGTCAGGTGATGAAGGAAATTTGGGCGTAGAATGGGATAAAAGGTGAGAGGAGACTTGTGGCCCTAATTTCCCTTGCTACTTTTTGGGTGATATGGAAGGAAATGAGTAGAAGAGCTTTTGAGGAGACAGATGTCTACTTTGATAAGATTAAGGATTACTGGTTCCAGACCCTAGGTACTTTGGTTTAGAGTCATCCTCTTTATTAATTGAGTGATGGTTGGTTAGGTGAGGAAGGAAATTTGGGCGTAGAATGGGATAAAAGGTGAGAGGAGACTTGTGGCCCTAATTTCCCTTGCTACTTTTTGGGTGATATGGAAGGAAATGAGTAGAAGAGCTTTTGAGGAGACAGATGTCTACTTTGATAAGATTAAGGATTACTGGTTCCAGACCCTAGTTACTTTGGTTTAGAGTCATCCTCTTTATTCTTTTGAGGGCCTTGGAGATCTTGTTAACACTTTGATTGATATATAAATAGTTTTGTACATAGATTTTTACCCCTTGGTGCATGTGAATGAATTCTTAAATAATTTGCTTCAAAAAAAATTAATGATTAAGAATTACCTAATAATATCGAATGTGCGAACACAAGTTAAGTAATTGACATAGTAGAAGATGTTGGAGAAGAATGTTGTTATTCCTATTATCAAATTAAGTTTTTTAGTGATGGATCTTGTAATTCAGTAGCGAGCAACAACATTTATCATGTTGATAATAGTAGTATTTTAGTTGATTTAAAGTCCCTGAAGAAAGAATCTCCACCTGAGGATATTACTGCTAAAATTTCTTTGGCTCCTAATAGCAATGAGGAAAGATTTGTTCATTCTTCTTTTGTGGATTTTATTATCCCTAATTAGTTCACTACATTTTCAGGATATTGATTTCTGAAGCATTTATGTTATCTTGTGACAATTTCAAGTTTAGCAAGCGTCAAGTTTTATTTAGACAAGTTTCAACTTTGATATTCTTTCTAATTTGACATTTGAAATTTTGAGATCAAGTTTTCACCAAATGGAGTAGAATGATGCAGAACAGGAGAATCTAAAGTGGATATATTTCAATAATAAGAGACATGATGCAAAACCAATAAAGAACATAAATATTTTGGGAAGTTTATACCAAAAGGAATAGGTGATTAATTTCCTTTTCCCAAGTATTCTCCTAGTTCTTTCAATTCAGCCTATTACTCTATGTACTAAATTTTCTAGGTTTTCTATTTTTAATTGTGTTTAATGCCTGTAAAAAAAAAAAAAAAAAAAAACTTATTTATTCAAATATGGAAATATTGTTTTATTTACCACTGGTTCTATAATTATGCTCACATCACCTATTGTAGGCTAGATAATTTACTTGTTGATTGAATTTTGTGTTTATAAGGACATCCATCATTCAGAGCCTCATGAGGTGGTTCTAAAGGATATGTTCCTCAATGTTGTTGGTGAATGTGAGAAAGAGTTGCAAAGTCAGTAAGAGATGGCTAGCCGCTAGTCTAGATCCTCTATCAAAGCGTGAGAGGAGAACCATGTTGAAGTAGGAGAAGATAATGCGTGTGAGAGGAGAACCATGTTGAAGGAGGAGAAGATGATGCTCAAGGCGAAGATAAAGATGTTGAAGGCGATGATGATGTCAAGGCCAATATTGAAGAGGAGAAGCTGGTTGTCAATACAAAGGGGGTTGCGAAGGTGACATCCACAACCAAGGGTCCATGCTGCCTTGCTAAATGATTATTCTTTTTGAATCTTCACAGAGGGTTGCTTCCTCCACCCCCCCCACACCCCGCCCCCAACTCCAAGCAGTTATCTCACTTTCAACCCCCCCATCATTGAGGATATCCCCTTTATCACCACGAGTTGGGGGCTTCCTCATTCGTCAATTCCTGTCACAGTT